TGCTGATTGGTTTTTACTAAACAAAAATGTAAGTAGACACACATAAGTTTAGGAATTTTAAAATAATGATAAAGGTTAATTTAATGCTGAAGTTTGCAAATAAATTTTTCCGTAATTCTATTGGTAATCCCTGGAAAGAAAATATTAAATTCAATAATATTGGAAATTCGTTTTCAATTACTCAATTATACTCCGTAGACACGTTTGACTACAACCTTTAAAAGGTATATAGATACATAAATAATCTTATCATACAATAAGAAAATAAGAACGTCGTTGAACTATACTTTCACTGAATGTGTCATCAATGTAGCTTTATTTTGCATTTTCAGGATTTTCACTACGATAAAAGATAATAATTTACAACACAGTTCAGAATAAACAACACTCTCAGTTGAGCATGATTAAAAGATTGGTGCAAAGCAGGAAAGCTATATAACAGGAGCTCTATTGATAACATAAAATAAGTTTCTATTCATACAAAATCAGCCTTGATGTTGAGATATAGGGTGTATTTAGAGTTTAAAGTGTTAGTTGAACAGTTCATTATGTCCCATATAGTATAAAGATTTTTTTCTTATCATATCACGGTAAATACAAGCGGACGTTGTAGTTTTCATATTGAAATGTGTTGAGTCCAAGTACAAACATTTAATATTAATTTGACAAGTTGAAAACTGATGGACGAGAGCATAAAATATCGCTACATTTTTCACTTATTTACAGCATGTTTTTTTTTACAAAACGCAACACATATAACAAGTATGTAAAGTCACTTTTTAGGGACAATTTGCAGTTCTAATTTCTTTTCTTCGTTATCATGTCAGCTAAGATGCATTGTTGCATGGTTTTCTATTTGGTTTAGTGTTATAGAGAATTCATTGTGAGTAACAAGATTCTATCCGAAACACAACCTGTGTTAAAGACAAAGTAACATAAATAAATTTATATTAAAACAATTTTACTATACAAATAAAAGAAATTTCAATTTATTATATGAAACAAAAAAGTTTTTCATTATTTTCCTTCAAAATTCTGTATAAAACTGTGGTTGATTTATTAGGTACTAGATTGACCAAGTAGGATCCAGAAAACTTAGTTACAACTGTTTCACGACACTAATGGATTGATTTACTTCATATATTCATCTAAAGTATACAATCTTTAAGATTGTAAAAAAAATTATCCAGCCTTATTTTCAACGAATTCCCAATAAATTTTAAACCATGTAGACAAGAACGTAACAATGCATATCAGCTGATCGGAAGTGAAGTGAAAGAAGCAAGACGGCCTAAGCTTTTTTTTGTCCATAAATAGTGGACACTGTAATGTAGTTTACGTTTATAAAATGTAGTCAGTTTCCTATACGAATATATCATTTGACACGAATCATTAAAAATAGTCAGTCCATAACCGAAAATGGTCGCCTTTTACCACAGAGTTTGATATTGAAACTACAACGATGAAATTAATTAGCTATTTAACGTATTATTGTGGTCATATACAATATTTTAAATTTATAGTAAAACCGATTGAAAATTTTAGGCTTGACCAAAACGGAAAAAGTGGTTCTTACTGATATAACGGAACGTGACTCGAGGAGACGCTTGCTGGACAAAGAAAGTCTAAATAAGGAGTTTAAAAGCGCGGGAAGCACGAGTATATGTGTACATTGGGCGGGAACATCGGCCTCTTCATTGGTATATTATAAATATAGGCTACCAACACAAGTAACGTTTATTTTATATCTAGAACACATCAAAGTAATTTTTAATTTTTAAAGCTGCACTATTAAATCAAGTTAGGTTTAAGTAAGCTTTGCCAACTTAAATTATATTACGGTAATTAATCAAATAGTTTCTATTTTTATTACTATAAAACCAGAATGTAGCGTATTACCGTTTGTAGTATTCAATGAGAATACACAATTAGATGTTATTAACATGAAATATTTCTGTTATTTAATGCAAAAATTTGTGTTATGTAGGATATAAATTCGGCGTAAAAACGAATCTTACAAGTCCAGATTACAACAAATATATTATCGTGTTGTGTTAAAGATAATTTTGAATTACAAAAGTTTTTTACCAAACCGAATATTTAGTTGAACCAAAAACATACCAACATGATGCTTACATTGAGAAATGTGAAAATAATGCATTAAAATGACCTAAAAAGTTGATTGTGTTGTCAGTACATGTACCTGAATAATTTGCAGAAAACATTATACAACAGAGTATCATCGTAAAAAATAAATCGAGGGTTTTTGCTCGTGTAAAATTATCAAAAAAATCTTTCTCCTTCGTAGTTAACATACTGAACACAATAGTTTTATTGACATTCAGTATTTTTCTTACATAGGAACACTATCTTACTTTCTAGTCAGACTAGATATTTGGTACTAGGACTAGGTATTTGGGTAGTTGAGACTATTTTGTTCTGAATTATTTTGTTAACATGTTTAATACGACTAGATTTATAACTACCAACTACCCACACTACGCCCAACACGCTATTATGACTACATCAGATGCGGTAATAACCTGCGTGAAACTCATAATCCTGTTAAAGTTACGACCTGGGATTTAGCAAATTGGTTCATTTCAAAAAATGAAATAAAATAGTCTGGCATTATACGGGTGCTATACATTTATCTGTATTTTCTGTCTTAATATTATTTAATATTTTCATTAAATTTCCTTCGTTGACAATCTATGTGTAACATAGATACATTATTATACAGTGGTTATACGATGTTTGAAATTATAAATTATATTTATAGAATTGCAAGTTAAGCTGTTAATTTAAGGTATCAAAAATATGTTCCACTATCAATCATAACTAATAAATCAAATCAAATTAAAATATCTTTTTTCATCATACAAATATAAACAAGAGATACATTCAGACCTAAGAATAATTACCGTATTCCCCGATATGTTTTCATAAACCTAATTTTTTGTTTAAATTAAACGTAAACACATAAATCAGTAGATCATAGTATAAATTGATACGTTATGTCTTGGAAAAAATACATTAAACAAATTTACAAAAAAAATATATCTTGCATTGATAAAAATGTAGACAACCCGATAACCTATAAATTCTTGTGTATACGCCGACATATAAAAAATATCCATCGCATGTATGAAATGTCTCAAAAAGCAAAATATATCCACCAAATAAAATTTTAGAAAGGATTTCAACTCATAAACAACCCGGATCGGAAGGCAAATCACCGATGTCGGCATAAAAACATAAAAAGTCAGACGATAACACTGAACTAGTCTTGGCCTTCGCCGCAAAGACAAGATGGAGAACAGCACGTGAAACTATTAGATAAATATCGACTAGTGGTGGGGAGACACATGCAGTCGGTTGCATACAGACCGAGGTGAATGACCTTAGAAGGATGGGAGACCTGGGGCGAGACGAGGAGGTCGTCACCAGGCTGATGAGCAAGGAGTTCATGAGAGACAGAAGAGTGGAAGTGATGGGAGTCTATGAGAACAAAGTGGCAAGGAGGATACAGGAGAGGGAGGTTGGTCTGTAGGCTAATAGCTTTACATGATGACGTGATAGTGGTCTTTCAGAGATTGATGACTGATGAGCAAGGAGTTCATGAGAGACAGAAGAGTGGAAGTGATGGGAGTCTATGAGAACAAAGTGGCAAGGAGGATACAGGAGAGGGAGGTTGGTCTATAGGCTAATAGCTTTACATGATGACGTGACGGTGGACTTTCAGAGCGTGATGACTGATGAGCCCACTGAAACTGTACGTATGTTTTATTAGCCTTGGGTAGATTGCCCTGGGGTAGATAGCCTTGGGGAGCTTTCGTGACTAAGTGTGTCACGAATAATTCATGCTACAAATTAGAGGTCCAGATGTTGACGAAGGTTTGCATATGGTCAGAGGTTAGCTTTGCACGACACTGTTATGCCCTATGCTCTAGGTAAATTGTGGCAAGATATGATAGATCATTAGAAGTAGCTTTGCGTTCTAGTATGTAAGAGAGGTCCTTAGCTGAAAATATTTTAGCTATGTGAGTCTTTAAAATATGACTAGGATAAATAAACAAGTATTTATGACAGCATTTATGGTGGGGTGGATAGTGAGTATCTACAAAAATATAAGGATGTCTGAAGGGGTCAAGAGACAGAAAAATAGCTTAGCCAGCACATTTTAGGCCTGATCCTGAAAGAGTAAAAGAAAAAAGAGCTGCCCCAGGAGTATCTCTGCACACTATTTAATCAGAGGATAATGAGCTTTTGGGAAGCCGAGCCATTTTTTTTTACAAAATAGTGTCCAGAAAGAATTAAGTAGAGAAAGGTAGTCCAAAGTTAGAATGGCACGAAAGTATTTCGTCTCATACTAATGAACGACAATGTGTTCTTAAATTATGTGTGTGTAGGGCAATGTGTTCTTTTATGTGTTTATTCATACGAGGATGTTTTTTGGAATAATGGGCACATTAGGAGCGTTTTTCTTGTATACAGACATAAGAATTTGTGGAACGTGTTAAGGATGTGTTTCTGTAAAAAGTAGCAAATTGGTTACCAAGTTAGAAGGTTGGTCCAAAGTAAATTTCCTTTATAGAACCTCTAATATACTAATATATATATACAGAGTTCATGATCATGCAAACGGTTGAGAAACAATTATCTGGAAACATGGTTTCTAAGAGAACTATAAGGGTTTGAAAAAAGTAGTCTTCCTTGCACAGATCTATGTTATCACCAGAATACCTAGATTTGACAATCTACTACGACTGTGGTACTGTGGAAACCCATAATCTAGATTATTTGAAACCAGCTTAACCTGCAACAGGCAACGAAACTAGATTTCACAAACAGCCGGAGAGTTTAGCCATACAATACTCCTGGATTGTAGAGTATTTA